TCAACCCCCCTTTCTATGTGTTTCATGTCTAACTTCAAATATGGCTAACCATGATCTGACCTTGAAGGAATTGGCTACACCTAATGTAGTTTATCAACCTTGGTGTGTTCAATATCTTCAATTAGAGGTGAATTATGAGCTTAAATATGGGCTAATCTATTTGTTGCCTAAGTTTCATGGACTATTGTAGGCGAAGATCCTTCACAGTAATAATGTTATGATCCTCCACAATAATATTACCATGATTCATACTCTAAGAGGTATAGTTCTAACTGGACAGGTCATCATTGGAGTCAACCACCACCTGTATAAAGTAATGGAGTTACATTGGAGGAAATGATGAAATAGATGGATGAATGCAATAAGAAGTTTCAACAAGAGTGGAATGTTGCATCTCAAGATTTGCAAATACAGATTGATCAATTGACTACTAATGTCAACCAACTAAAGTTAGCACATTCATCTATGTCTACCTTGAGGAGTGACATTCTTGATCTTGATTGTACTAGTATTGATTTATCTGGTATTGATTCCTCAATGTGTGAGATTGTTGACCTTGTATTTGAACATGGATTTGACATTTTTGACATTATAGCTGAGCTTTCCATTGTTGACTCTAATTATACTTGTGATGATTATTCTATTATTGTTAGAGAAAAAGATACATACTAGAAGGAGGTTGAATAGTGTATATCAAAAACTCGCACTTTTCAAACGTGATGTTATGAAATTATAGCACAAATAGAATACAAAGAACTATGTACAAGATTTACAATGAAGAGCTTCTTTGTAGTGTTACAGCTTTGTTCTTAGTATGTTTGATCAATGTAAATTGCTCAATGTTGATCTTTTTATGTACAACGCTTTCCTTCTTATATGTATTTTATGTTCTCTGTTCTTTGCTTGGTCTCTAAAGGCCTGATCCTTGTATATTAGCTTTAGAGAGAAGATGACCGTTACAACAATGTTGGATTTAAGCATGTAAATTTCTTCACAAGTTGCTTCATTTGTCTTCCTTGTTGATCTTAGAGATTACCATTGATGCATTTAATGTGAGCATTAAATTCTTATCAGTGAAACGTGTATCTCTTATCTGATCCATGTAGCTACTTATCATCATTTCCTTATAAAATGAGTGTAGTAGAGGTAGTGTCAGAGTAAAGCAGTTGAGATTGGCATAGAGCATTCTTTACAGTGTCTTATCCATGAAATCTAGGATTTTTCTCTTTTTTTCCTGACACAATGATTTAACATTTCCTTTTGAAAACTTTTGTTATCATTGAGGAAGCTTTTTTATTTGATTTATTAAGGAATAAATAGTTAATACTTCTTAAATATTATTCTATTATTTTAATGAGAAATAAATGTGGCATTAATCTAGATGATGTACCTTGTTTGTTGCACTTCGTCTTACAAACGAAATATGACATTTGCTTCATCTGAAATAGTCTCCTGAGAAAATTTATTTGTTATCACAAAAACTCATAGCTACTCGAGGCATTCAAGACTATCTTTTAATTTTACAAACTTCCTTTTTTATCATACAATTATGTGTGATATATGTGCAAATATTAGTATTGCTATTGCAAGTACAACAAATGTCATAATATCAAATGCCTCACTAGTAAATGTAGCTACAACAGTGGATGTTCAATTAGTAGAAGAACCTCCATTTCCATCCACTGCGCAACCTCTATCCTTAGAGATGAAACTTGAATTTTCATTTGATATATGTTTAGAGAGTTTTCCAAGGATGTTACATAGGTGTGTTGAAACTAACCTTATGCTAAATTTTGAAAATTTACATTTTATGGTAGTAGAAGGTATAATTTTAAAGCACTTAGTATCTATTAGAAACATGGAGGTTGTTAGGTGTGATATTAGTGTTTTATCTTTTCTACCCTACCTCGTATCTATGCGGGAAAGACATTCTTTTTTTGGACATGCAAGTTTTTATTGGAAGAAGGTCATGTCGAATTTCCACAAATTAGCCTTGCCATTGCCCAAACATCTAAAGTGGAGGAGAAAATGGAGGATTTTCATTTGGTCAAATCATGAGATATATCATGAAAATTATTTCTGTTTAATTTATTTTACACTTGAATTTTTTGTGGCATTATATGCTTCTTATGGAGCATTTTATGCGTACATAGGAGACAATGCAAATTTCAAGTTTTGAGGGGGATGCGAAGGATCTCTCCTTGGTCAAGCTACTATAAGGGAGTTTTACCTCTCTTTTATTTTAATGAGCATTGTCTTAATTGTTGAATTTATTTTTACATTGAGGAAAATGTGAATTTTAAGTGTGGGAGTGTATTTTCTATTTCTGTTTTAGTTTATTGCTTCTGTATTTTTACTGTTGGCTATTTTTTGTTTCTATTCTTATTTCTATTTTCTATTTTTGTATTTTGTATTCTATTTCTGTTTCTATATTATATTTCTATTTTTGTTTTTGTTTTTTGTATTTTGTTTCTATTTCTGTATTTTGTATACTATTTTATTTTCTGTTTCAGATTTTTGTTTCTATTTCTATATTTGTTTTTTTTTTGTTTCTATATATATTTTTGTATTTTTCTATTGTACGAATTTTCTATTTTATTATTTTTTTTACCTTTGTATTTTATTGTTTTATTGTTTTGTTTTGTTTTACTGTTTTGTTCTATTTTATTATTTTTTTGCTATATTTTTTAAAATTTTAAAATAATTAAAAAAAATTGCTTTTCTTTGGATTTATAAGTGCATGTATTTAGAAAGTTGTACCATTTTTTGTTGATTGGTTAAACGATTAAAAAAAATTGCTTTTCTTTGGATTTATAAGTGCATGTATTTAGAAAGTTGTACCATTTTTTGTTGATTGGTTAAACGTCATGAAGTAACTCATATGTGCATTTTTGGTTTTGTAAGTTGATTTGGAAAATTAAAGTTTGAAACATTGATGGTAGAACTATATACCTTGCAAGATTTTTAGCCTTAATTGATGGATGGACATCTTTTTCATGCCATATTCTTTCTTGTGTGATTCATTCATCTTGTTATTATTCTAGCTAGGTTTCGCTTTGACTCTCTTTGGTATTCCTTGTCTAACATGCATTATTGATATGATATAGACATTCCTTCTTTATAAGCTTCTAGCCAAATGGCCTTACCTTACATTTTTTCCACTTGTTAACCCCTTTGAGCCATTTTGGACCCTTCATTTGATGATTTAGCTCATTAAAGGTCTAAAAGTGAAAAACTATGATATACCCTAACCTTAAGAATTATTGGACCTTTGGAATTGTTTCGGGAGTGGGTTTAAGATAAGTGTGGGGGTGTAACTCCAATGCTTTATGCAATGATGAGATGTTTGTTGAGTGTTCTTTGACATTAACTTGAAGAAAAAAAAAGGAAAAGGAAAAGCATTAAAAAAAATAGAACGAAAGAAAGGAAACAAAAGAAAAAGAAAGTTGAATATATATATATATATATATATATATATATATATATTCAAAATCAAAAAGAAAAAAATTAAATGAAAAGAAAAAATATATGAAAGTATAATAAAGTGGGAAGAGAAAAGAGAGAGAGAGAGAGAGTGAGTGAGTGAGAGAGGTTAGTTTTAGCATTAGGGCATTTTTCATACTTATCTCATTACTTATTCCTCATTGCTCCCTTTTTCTCTTTGGTTCTTAGCCTTGAAATCCCAATTTTATCCCACTTTTACCTTGACCACATTACAACCTAATAAAAGTCCTATTGATCTTTAATTGCATGTGTTTCAAGTTGATAAGATTAGGGGCTTATCAAAGTTTGGTAGTACTAGTATTGCATGATGTGCTTGAGTGCAAATACACACTAAAACACTTGAGAGATGAGAGTAAACACTATCTTGTGATGGTTCTGTCATTTTTGGATCATTCTTTAATTTGACTTGTCACCTTGCTTGCTTTTAATGTTGCATGTGTTCATGGATTGTTGTTTTGCCTTGATGCTTTGAATGTTGTATTCTTTCTTCTTCTTATAAATTTGTGAATTCATTGGAAAGTTTTGAGAAGTTTTGCTCATTGTTTGGTTTTGAGTTTTAGTTTTTATTTCTGAGTTTTGGCCCAAAGTGCAAAGGTCTTAAGTGTAGGGGTATTTGATAGTGCATTTTGGTAAGTAACTTTGTATGCATTTATTTGGCCTTTTTGAACTTTGTACGTGTCTTATATTCATATTTTGACTTAGATGTATGATAGTTGTATTATTTCATGATTGTTGTAATTTTTAGTCAATTTTCAGATTTTCACCCACTTTTACACTATTTTTTTACAGGCTATATCTAAAGCACCTAATATTGGATTTGGACGTTTTTGGTGTCTATGAAAAGACAAAAGAGAGTTCTACAACTTATCTATTGGGAGCAAAATCTAGTTTAATTGTTAAGAGACCTAAAAATGCATTGCAAGGTTGCGACCCTGTGCAATACTTTCTGTTTGGTTTTAAATAGTAACGTTAGGATTTGTTTAGTGATATAATTAGTTGATTTAGTTGGTCAAGCCTTTAATTACTCATATTAGACCCACTATATTTCTCAATTAATAGGGGTTGTAAGACTTGTTATGTACACTTTACACTCATTTTTTCATATTTTAGGTTTCTTGCTCTAGAAGCTTCTCTTATTTTCTTTCAACTCTCTTCTTTTCTCTCACGAATTCCTCCCTATTTTGGCCAAGACGCTTCATCTTCTCTCTGAACACTAGTACAAAAAATATTTTTAAGAACAAGATTTTAAAATTAGTTAACAGAGGACTGATTTTAAAAAAGACACGGTGACATTTTTATAAATAATGCTACCATTTTTAAGATCGGTTAAAAGTTAACTAATTTTAAAAGACCTTTTAAAATCGATTAAATTTTAACCGATCTTAAAAAATATAGTCTCTTTATCTTTTAAAATCGGTTTACAAAAAACTGATTTTGTATGGTCTATACAAAACCGGTTCCTTCAGTTCTCAATAAACCGATTTTAAATACCTTGCTCAAATTTGCAAAGTCCCCTTCGTTCTCACTCGTACTCTGTCTCGCACCTTCCCTTCTCCCAGCAGGTTTATCTCTCGTTCATTTGTTTTCTCCATTCTCTCTCGTTCGCCTTCATCATGTTCCTCTGTGTTTCCTTTGCTCTTGTGTCACCGTTGTCGTTCGTTGTAGCTAGCCATTCACCACCATTCTCATTCGTGGTCGTTGGCCATTCATCGTTGTTGTTCATCGCCAGTTCGTCAACTCCCAAAAGGTATGTTGTTGTTTGATTATAGCTTGAACCCTGCCACGTTAGGGTTCTTTTCGAGCCACGACTCTAAGAGGTCGAAACACATATTTCGTTACCTAGTTACTTGAGGCCCATTTGGATAATTCCTTTGGGATTATGAACCTCGTCATAAAGAAGAATGAAATGGAAACCCATAGAATGGATGCGTGTTTTCCCCAATATTGGTTTGAATTATTATTCGGAGAGTAGATACATGCTTGATGGGTTTTTTTGACTTGGCCATACACCAAATTGATTATTAAACCCAAGATGATGGGTTTCATAATTTTTTGATTTTTTGGGATGCAGGAGGGTTGAAGACGTTGCAAAATTCTTCTTGATAAGTATAATTTTTTATGACATAAGGCACTCTGAAACTTGATAATGTAGCCACTTGTATTCCCATTGGTAGTCTGTTCCAGTTATGTACATGTTCTTACATATTAGTAAGAACTCTTCTGAAAAATCACTAGGTTGATCTAGTTCAGTTCTTACAAGTTTGCTTTGTTACTTCAATTATCATGCTATATTTCCTTATTCGTTTTTTCTAAGCATGTCTTCCATTTAAACATCAAACTTAATGATTCGTAATTATGCTGTGCAGCTATTTAATTGAAGAAAAGAACTATATGGATCGTGATGGTTACAAAAACGATTATTTTTCTGCAATAAGCTGAACCAAAGCTTCACGAGCTGATCATGAAGGCATTTTAACACTAAGCATTTTCAGTCTTTCTGGAACAGGCATTTATTGCAATGTGGCTTCCACGTGACTGCAATCCGACCACCTACTGTGCCTCCTAACTCATGCAGGTTTATATCTTTTTATAAGAAACCTCTAAATTAGTCATCCAGATACATAGGGTTAGACATTTTAGTCCCTGAAATTTTAAAAATCTTCCATTATAGTTCCTAACTTTAATGAATAGACAACAATCTAAACAAGGAGATAGGCAGCACCCTCTGTTCTTCACTATTCTTCTCTGATGGATTCTTATCACCCTTCAATTGTTTTGGTGATCCCTTTCTGGATAATTCTTTTCCATTTTCCATTGGTTCTTTCAGCTCTGAATTTAGCTTCTTAGGTGTCTCTTTTGAAGCAGGATTTAAATGGTTGATCCCACTGCAAAATACAAATTAATATTTAGAAGGAAATAAAATGAAATGTAATATCCACCAAATAGAAGGAATTTTGTAGATACATATTGGCAAGCAAAAACAGCACATGTGATAAAATCTAACCTTCCACCCGATGGATCGTTTTGCCCAGATGATTCTATCTTTATCTTACTTTCCTCTCCCACATCACCATTTTGTGCCTCTCCATTTTGTATACCATGAATATTGTTTGTAAGGACATTTGCACCGTTCATATGATGCCCATTCACATATCCATTGCTTTCTGCTTCAGCTTTCAACCGCTCATTTTCTTCTCTTCTCCTCCTAGCTTTTTCCGGTGCTTCTTCCCTTCTAGTGGCCCCAAGTGCCTGCCGCTGTTCAATGATCACATCTAACTTCTCCCTGAAAATTGCAGATCCAACTACTCGATTGACCAAATTGCATAAGATTTCTAGTTTAACACTGGCATCTTCAAGGCCATAATGTCCTCGTTTTATAGTTGCTTCACAGTGCTGTAGTTCAGGAATATTGATCATCTCTAGGAAATTGCATAAATATTCTGTCCAATTAATCATTGTAATCTGAAAATTAAAATGAATGAGATATTGTCACAATAAAACAATAATGAGAAAATCATTAACCAAGTTACAGAGGATATTGAAATAAGAAATATTCAACTGGGTCAAGCCATCTCAATATCTCATAAAATATGGACAATTGTCTATTAATAACAGTAACAAAAAAAATGTATGTGAGTGAGATGGTAACCTTAGACTTCATTTTAATTATTTTTTAACCTTATTTTCCATTGTCATTTTGCATCAAGAAGGACTAAAGTGAGTGATGTGTATGCATAGTCAGAGACTAATGGAGATTTTTAAAATTCATAGATTAAAATATTTAACTCACAATTCAAAAGACTAATTTCAGAATTTAATCTATCCTATATTCGCTTTAATTAAAATCTGAAAGTTGAAAGAGTACTGATAAAAGTACCACTAATATTCTCCGCCCAACGTCCCCCATTTGGTTTCCATTTTTAATCAAACATTTTTTCACCTGAAACCACATCACACATTTTATAATTTGGTTTCTATAATTAAAAGAAAGACAACTACCCATTCTTACTAATAATATATATTGTTATTAATAATATATACTGTTGCCTATTCCTGAATCTCAATATTTTTCTTTTTCTCCTACAATCGTTTTCTTCTCTTAAAATCCTTTAAAAAAATAAATATACAAAGGCTTGTTTCTTGTACTAGTATGTATAGTATTGGTTTAATGTGCCTGGTTAACATACCAGGTGGAACCTAGGTGGACGTTTTTCAGTGGGATCATTATAATTTTTCAAGTTGAAATTCATTTACTGTATATCTGTTATTTAATTCTCTTTGCATCTAATATTCTTTAGGCTGCCAGTGGCCTGTTACTATGCAAGACTGTAGCTAGCCTTTGATTCATCAAAGATGAATTGCGTCAGCAATGATTGAGACTATGCCGTAAATAAGTATACCCTTAGTTCCATCATTAGTAGTTGAAGTCAATTAAATTCTGTTTATAGTTGTAGGCTGGTAGCTTATTCCCTGATGTTATACCAAAATGACAAGCTATTTTGTCAACATCTAGATAAATATTGTTAACTGAAGCTATATATATATATATATATATAATTTTTATCGACTTTTAGTTTAGGTTGTCTTTTTAATACTATCATTAATCATGCATTATTAATCACATCATTATATATAGTCAGATTACTCCACTAATTCTTAAATTATTTGAATGTTTTCAATTAATTAGGTGCTTATTTTTTTAATTAGAAACCTAAACTACATGATAAGTAGATTTCTGATATTAGTTTTTGAAAACTTGAAATTAAAAAAAAAAAAACATTTATGATATTTTGTTCTATGAATTAGCTAACGTTGAACTTTCATTATTTGTATAAGTCTTTGTATTTGACATACTTGATTTTTGGATAAGGGAAATGATCACATATATGGATTTTTGGAACCTTAGTCAATCCAAAAAAGTGGGAACAAGGCTAAAGAAATACAAGTTTACATTCAAAATTGGATGTTTGACTCAAATAAAAAAGTTTATTTGGCCCCTTACTTTTCTGAGTAAATCTACTTTTATATAATTGATTATAATTTTTTTATAAAAACTATTTTCTATCACTAATAATTTCTTAATGTAGTGTTCATTGGCAGCTTCTAGTTATTTATCCTATGGACAACATAGTTGTATGCATTTGCTTGTTGCATAAACCTCCTCCTATGGACTTTAGACAATTATTAGATAAGTAAGTTGTTTGAAAACATCTACTTTCTTTTATTGATTATCATTACATTTGAATTTAAATTATAATCATAATGTCATTTTATCATTAGCGTCATGAAAGGATATCATATACTTAAGGGTTCAAAGTTTAAGAAAAAAATGAGTTGAGTCTCTCCTAAAGTAAGATTTTAATTCTAACAATGATATTTTTTAAGTAATTTTGTTTTGAATTACTATTAATATTGAAATTGATTTTATATTCTTTTTGTAGTCTCATAAACAAAAAGGAAACTATGAGTGTGGATACTATGTAATGAAGACAATGCATACTATTATCGATTCACAAATAGTATCTAGGTGGATTGAAGTAAGTTTTACAATTTTGAAAGTTTTTCTTTTGAGTTCTTATTTTATATATTTTATGAATTATTACTAATTGTTCTAAATTTTCTTAACAGATATTTATAGATCGATCACCATTACCGCTAGAAGACATAAACACCATTAGGGAGCAATTAATGGGCCACATTTTTTATCAACCATTACATTAACTAGTTTGCGATTATGTTTTTATAGTATTGCTTTAACTAGTTAGGACTTACATTTCATTGAACAATGTCGTCCATTTATGTATTACATGTATATATATATGGCTAAACTATTTGATTATATATATGGTTGATATTTATCATCTCTTCTCATTTGTATGCAATTTGGTTCATTGAGAAGTAACGTAAAAAATATAGATATTTTGGTTAATTGAAAACATCTGAACTGCCTAGTATTTATTCATTTGCAAGTTTTGTTCGGAGACGCTCCCAAAACAAGTCAAACATTCAAAAAAAACTTCACCACTTTTAAGATCGGTTATGCCATAACCGATCTTAAAAACCTTAGTTGGGACTTTTAAGATCGGTTATGAAACAATCAATCTTAAAAATGCACTTTTAAGATCGGTTGATAACCGATTTTAAAAGTCTAGCTTTTTAAAATCGGCTCTTTTAAGATTGGTTACGGAACCGATTTTAAAAGTTAAAAATAACCAATTATAAAAGTCTTTTTTCCACTAGTGGAACAAATTTGTGTGTGGACAATGATGGAGATGTGCGGCTAAGTTCTCTTAATTGATTTAAGTTTTCGATTATGTGATAAAATCCTCTCAAATCCATATTCCTTCTTTCTCTTATTTTTGTTCTTCAATTAATTTTGAATTAAATTCATCATTATGGATTTTATTTTTGATTAATTGAAGAAAAAAACTAATTTGAATTAATTTTAGAACACCGAATTGGATTCAATTCATATTGGAACAATATGAAACAAATTTGTCTTCATAAAGTTTTCATAGAGCACGATTGTATTCTTCATTCTTTAATTTGAATTAAACATTAAATGTTGGAATTTAGATTATATTTTTTTTAATACAATAATCAGAACTTGAATTGATATTTTATACGATTAGATTTTCAAATTCGTGATTTTGTAGAGTTTAAATTTCAGTTTATAATTATTGTTCATAAAGTGTTCGATAAAAATATCTCTCTCTAATTCTTGATAAAATTCAAGTTCTTATGAATTATGAACTCTGTAAAGATGACATAGGTTGTTCCCTAAATACAAGGTCAAATGGAGAAAAAGTCTCCAAACAACATACCCTAAAATCCTAAAGGGATGACCTATAAGAAAAAAAAAGGTGCCTTACAAATACAAAGGCAAAAATAGCATACGTCTATGAAGCACCTCCTTTATAGAAGCCTCCTCTAGCTTCCTAACTATGGACCTAGTTATAGGCCCAATCATCTTCAAGTGTGTGGTTTCTGATGGTCCTTCATCACCTAAACTCCAAATAATTTTTTGAGGAGAAACCTAGTTTTATTTGATAGCATTCGACATCGTTATTAGTGTTAAGGCTTCTTTTCATACTTATGGGTTTGATTTAAGACATATTGTGACATCAAGGTTGAAGTGAGGACTTTTAATTTGATTTTTCAGTTGTTGGTTTTCCTTATGTTAGAAATATTGTAAAGGCCATTGGGAATGGCTAATTATTTTCTTTATCTATGTCGCTTTGATTATTAAAGTGTTCTTTAGAAAAATGGCGATATGAACCTTTTCTCCGAAGGAGTTTAGGTTTAAAAACTTATCCTAATTTCTGCTTTTATTTATAATTAAAGGAATAATGTTTTGAATTGCTAAAGTTAGCCTATGCTAGAAGGTTAGAGTAGTATGCATTAGTTTTGAACTTTATTGTCTTCATTGTAATTCTGATAGATAAATTAAAGAATAATATGTTTTAGGTTAAAGGGTTCACACAAGACAAAACTTATAACACACACATATACCAATATAATTGGGGACAAGTGACATTAACAAAATTCAAAACCATTCCCAAGAAAAGCAACATAGAACAAAATTCCCAAGGTTGAAACACACAATGCATTATCCTTAAAGAGAAAATGACCCACTAAATTAGTAAATTAATTTGATGCACTTTTTTCCCAAGATATGCCAGCTCGTCAAATCAAACTTGTGTAGCGAAGAATCCCTAAATAAAAGAACACCAGTCGAAAATATACTTTTAATAATTTAGGAATATTTCTCAAAGAGAGGAGATGAATTTTCAATAAACAAAAATATTTATAGACCTAATGTTTACAACATCAAAAAACACAAATGTTCACTATTGCCAAAAAAAAATCAAGGTCTGTTCAACGTGCTTAAACAAAATAAATAAACGAGCAAATAGAACAAGCCAAGTACTACCACAATCAAAATGATGATTGTAAAAGCCACACCATGAGGCTTGAATATTCAACACAAGAATAGAACAAGAACTTAAATTATCTGCATTTAGTCATGAGCAACAACTAGCACTTGTTTACCAACATTGCGACCACTAAAGAGGCCAACCAAGGCTTTAGGGCCATTCTCAAGTCCCTCGGCTAAGTCTTCCAAATACAAAATCTTTCCTTCTTTAATATAAGGTAAGAGAAACTCCAAAAACTTGGGATATAAGTGATAGAAATCATTTACAAAAAATGCTTCCATGCGAACCCGCTTAAATATGATATTTGGCAAATTTGTTACACCTTCAGGTTGTGTAAGATTATATTGTGAGACCATTCCACAAATAGGTATACGACCGTGGACCCTCATATTCAGGAGTACTGCATCAAGTGTCTTGCCCCCAACATTCTCAAAGTAAATGTCAATGCCTTCTGGAAAGTATCTGATATATAAATTGATATCCATGGTCACCAATGTATATTGTATACATGCACAAATTTAATAAAAACTTATCTATCACGATACTATTAAATACTAACTTTTTCAAAGTTGCATCAAGGTCTGACTCTTCTTTATAGTTAAAGGCTTCATTAAATCCTAATTTGTTCTTCAAAAGATCCACCTGTTTGGAAAAAAAAAAAAAAAACACATTCAAATGAAAGAAAAACTAGATAATTTTGTTGGCAAGAAATATAATAAAAAAAAAGGAATTTATGTCTTGCTAATTAGTCTACTATTATTTATGTATGACGAAAATCTCTTAATAAAAGTTTAAAGTCTATTTTTGGGTAAAGTGGAGGAGCAAAGGTTAGATTGGTTACACAATAAGATACATTTGCAATCAAACTTCAACAAAGTACCATGATGATACAATTTTTTGATATGTGCAAAACATCATAAAACGCAACTAATATTTGATATATATGTTTGCTTCATCACCATAATAATAATAACAATAAAATTACCATGTAGTTGAATTCTACATCTTGAAAATCACAGAAAGTATATATCTCAAAGTTTTCACCACCAAGGAATTTATAATTAACAAATAATATTATCTAAGCTAGATAATAGGCAAAATATTTAGGCTAATTCAAATAATAGTACCTTATATAACAAGATAAAAGACAAAATGTTGATTCTAATTTATCATTCATGCAAACACATATAATGATAATTATTAGAATATACCTTCTCTTTACTTCCAGCACTTCCAACCACATAACAACCAGTCAATTTTGCAAATTGACCAACAAGTTGTCCAACTGCACCAGAGGCAGCTGAAACAAAAACATTCTCTCCTTTCTTTGGAGAGCCTAATTCAAAGAAACCAGCATAAGCAGTCATTCCTGGCATACCTGTGATCAAAGAAGAAACTAGCATGGGTATAAGGCATAATAATATGTGAGAAAACAACGCAACAATGCTAATTAGATTCATTTTGAAAATGTATATTATATACTTATCAAACAAACATAAGCAAAATAGATTGAGGCTTGCATATCATATTGATATCAGGTGCATGATTCAATAGAAATCAACATAAATTGTGTTTGATGAATACATACCAAGTATACCAGTATAATATGAGAGTGGGACATCAGTGTGCTCAATCTTGAAAAGTAAAGTTGGAGAGACCAAGCTGAATTCTTCCCATTTTGTAAATCCCCACACTAAGTCACCTTTCTTATAATCTGAGTGTCCAGATTCTAGGACTTTTGACACCCCATACCCTGCTAATGGCTGCATACACATACCAGTTAAACTCACACATTTGTAATTAAAACTACACTACAAATAACATTTTGATTAATGTCTTTAATTAAAGTAGATACATCGGAACCATGGCATATATACATTATATTAGTAGCCCCCAATTATGCATTGAACAATGGGATTGTCATTGTTGAACCATTTTCTAAAATAAATAAAGTTAATTACACTTTTAATTTTTTAAGTATCCAATAGTTTGATCCTTTATAATATATTTCCTTATTATCATTTTGACTTTTTTATGGGTAAATGATTATTTTTATGACAACATAGAACAATAAAAGAAGGAATCTCTTTCCATTTTAAGCAAATATCTTGAGTATTGAATGAAATTAGGATCAATTCTCCAGATGGTAAACATGCGAAATTATGAGACCCAATTGTCATGAACAAATTGAATTGTGCTTAATTATTTTATTCTTAAAGCAAGTTAACAATAAAAGTTCATATAAATTTTTTATCCAACACAAAAGTTATGAAAAGTAACTTCAATTCAAAATTAATCTTTTACTTAACCAATTATTCGAAGTTGGACCAAGCATGCAAACATTTATCTAAAATTACAACAACAAGAATCAAAATTAATTTCTAAAAATATAACATATAAAAAATGTGAAAGGACTTTAAAGTGATTTTGTATTAACCAACATAAATTAAAGCAGGTAGTACACCTTTTGTGTGTCAAAACCAATCTATCCCACAAAAGTAACTTTTAGTAACAATTTTATAATGACAATAATATAATTGTCACTAAATCAATTATAAAGTACATGATTTTTTAGTTAATAAATATTAGTCATTAAAGTTTATTATTTATTTGTTATTATTTTAATAGTCAGTACAAATAATTAATCTTTAATGGTATGTTTAAATATTATTATTTTTTATTTTTGAATTTTAATTTAAAAATATGTTTAATTTAATTTCTTATTTTTAATTTTAGAAAATAAAAATATTTTAAAGTGACTTGAGTTCTAGAAATTTTGAGATGCACTCAAATCCAAAATTAATCACAGTAACAAGACAAAACCATATAAAATGAACCCAATCAAAGGATTCTTGTCCCAAGCCTTTTGACTACACCCAATAAACTTTTCTTTTCCTATTATATATAAAAAACATAAATTAATCAAAATGTATTTTACACATATAAAAGAATAAAAGATATTTTAGAGATAATATTAATCAAAATACATTCATATATATATATATATATATATATATATTAAGTTATTCAAATTTATTGATATCTAATATATAATAATTATATAATTAAGAATAATTTAGATTAAGCTAATAAAAGACTTTTACTTCTCATTTTCACAATCTTTATTATAAAAACAACTCTATAATTTTAATAAAAACTTTATCAAATTTTTACTCATCAAAGTAGTAAACATGATAATAAAAAATAATAACACTTTATTAAATCCAATTTGATAAATTAGATCTTGACCATACTTAATTTTTCTCCAACATTATTTACATATATTCATCTAAACCGGGACTAGTAAAGATACGTTTAGTTTGACATGCTTTTGATCTAAAAACACTAAAAAGAGACCCACTGTTCAACAATCAAGATTACCACTTTCCTTGTAATTAAGAAGAAGAGAAAAACAGTCTAAACTTTTTACGTGAAATGACCCAATGTTGCTAAGAGTGTGCATTCATATTTTTTAGAAAAGAAAAAGATAAAAAAACAAAAAAAGAAACACTCTACGACCACATGACACATGGCATCATCTTTAATTAAAGGTTACAAGTGAAGACAAATCCCATCACTTTATCTCATTTCTCCACCATACAACTCACAACATTCATCCCTGCTTAATTTGTCACGAACTTGGCTACTAACCAACATTTTCTTCTATCTTCCAAAACAAACCATAAACCTCCTCCTCCAATAACCTCTCCTATTCTTGTGCCCAAAAAAAAAGTCACGAAACAAGAAAATGTCATCCAGTGCTAGCTTGGGTTATGGAGTGCCAACATGCTTCAACAATGCTCAACAAAGCAAGAAGAATCAACCAATGAGGAACAGTTTCATGGTCAAACATCACAACAGTGTGGGAGTGATGAAGGGTTGGAGAGGAAAATGTGGTAACACTAAAACATCGAAAAGGGTAGGAGTGGTGAAGTGTAGAGGGCTAGGAGACTTCATAGGGGGTGACTTGTTGAAGCTTGACCTTGGACAGTGGCTTTCTGATGTCGAAGAGCACAAGGCACTTGCAATATACCCTCCTCATGAGGGTGGCTATGAGGGACGCTACTTGTCACGTCTCAGACGTCAAGGATACTATTTCCTTGATCTTACTGCTCGTGGCCTTGGTGATCCTGAAACCACACTCACCAAGATTCACCCTGTCTGCCCTGTGAGTTTTTGTTTCTGCTTGAAAGACTCTTATATGCATGTTTGGATAAACTTCTAAAAAAGACACTCATAGACATAGGAAGAGAAAAATCTAAATAATTTTTTTTAGAAACTTATTTTATTTTTCCTTATTATTTTTCTCTCTTATAAGTACTGCTGGAGAAGTTTATCTAGATAAACATGTATTTGCTTTTTCTTTTTGGTTGTTTGTCCTTGGTGGATGTTATGTTACTCAAGTTTGTATTTGGATTTTGTGATGAATTTCAGCCTCATGTTGGCAAGCAGCCAATAGCAAGGTGGTATTTCCCACCAGAAGTGGATTACAGATTAGAAGCATTGCCACCAAATGCCAAAGGACTGGTGGTGTGGATAATTGAAGCCAAGGTGTGAGGATTATAGCATTACTTATTTACTTGTTTTCCATTAAGAATTTAATTAGAATGGACTTATTTCACAAAACCGAAACCGACTGGTAAATAGTAGGTAATTTAATAGGTGCAATAATAATTGTTAGAATAGATTTTGATATTATCTTAAAATATGAATTTGGATTGAATTCAGTTTTACAAAATCAAAGATTCTCTCATATTTACATGTATTATTTGGACCATATCACTAGTCGACGTTTTATTCTAATGGGTTGACAATATAAAAATCTTATAGAATGTCACAATTAAACTCTTCCATTATAGCATCCCATATATACTTAAACAGGGGAGGGGTTGCTGTGATTGATATGTTCCCCATAATGTAATGATGTAAATATTGTTTTGGCTTCCACAGGTTCTCTCTAAGGCTGAACTGCAGTTTCTTGCATTGCTGCCAACACTTAGGCCTAATGTGAGGGTCATTGCTGAATGTGGAAACTGGTAGGAAGCCTTTTCTGAACCTTTTGTTATTGTTCTCAGTATTTTGTTTTAGATTTTATAGCTTCTTTTTGTTGTTGTTGCTTGTTGATGGAAATTGCCGGTGCTTTCTGCTGTAAAACTTGATCTTGAGGTCTTGAAACATAGCATGAGTTTGATTATATATTTGATGCATTTTAAAAATAGGTTGAGGATAAAAAAAGATAATACTATAATTGTCTTGAAACATAGAAGTGACTTATTCATCAAAATACAGATTCACATTTTAAGTTCATTATCTTCTGGTTATATACCTTTTAACTACTTGTTCAATAATGCTGTTGTTTGATATAATTATTCTCATGTCAATGATCAGGAGAAAGTTTATGTGGAAACCACTAAAAGAAATTGCAGGACTAGAAAGCAGTGAGGAAGCTTGATGGTGCTACATTACTACTTACCATCTCTTACTTCCAACCTCAAAAATCAAGTGCAAATATTTTTACTTTCTCCAATTTAAGGCTTTACATAGCTGCAGATAACTGGGATAAGAAAGGAAGAGAAAGAGATATAGGAAAAATCAAGTTCCTTGTAAATAATTAGATCTGCCACAATCATGAGTGGCACATTCTCAAAGTTTAATTTTGTGGAAGCACAAACATTTCCTCCAACATGGTATTCCTGATATTTCATTTCAACAAAATTTTGCAATAGAGTTACAGTATAATGGTGCAATTTTTTTCCGTACAAAACCATATGACATAAACAGTTGAATCAATTACAGAAAATATGCCTATGTCTGTTTTTTACAACCTATGATAATTATTATTAGCAGCAGAATTTTATCATATATTTTTCTGAAAATTGACTACAAGAATATGGTGCAACTTGAGCATTATTACAATAACTAATAACCTTATAATGTGATATATAAAGAAAAATTCCGCTCCACGAAAGGTTAGATCCCTTGTTTGAGGGAAGGATTGATGGGATACAAACAAGTTCCACATCGATAAAATAAGAGAAAAAATAACAACTTATAAAACATACTCATACTCCAATGTTAGAGACTCCAATGTTAGAGAGACCTTTTGAATGATGATCAAAACTAAAATAGTGAGAGCTTAGGCTCAAAGCGGACAATATCTTATCATTATGGAATTTATGTATAATAATCTTATAAAAATAATTCTCATGAAATATCCGCTCAGGCAAATATTAGTAATTACATTCATATCAAGTATTGTAATTCAAATATATAGTTTACATGTACCGTTTATATGTATAATATGTATGTTTAGTATTTAGTATGTATATATAGTTTGAAAGTTTAGTATGTATGTGTATCATCTGATGATATATATCATATATTTTTCTGAAAATTGACTACAAGAATATATGGTGCAACATGAGCATTATTACGTTAACTTTAACAGAGATGCACATGATAATCAGAAATTATTAAGTAGTGGGGGACATCACATATCCATGACAAATATAGGTGACATGTAATTGAAATATTAATTTTAAAAAATAATAAAAATTATACAAATTTAGTCAAAATCATAATGATTTCAAATCATATAATGATTTCTTAGCATAACTAATCATTAGGGTTAATCTGGTAGTAGGATAAAAAATACTAAGTAAATTTTAGGCTCAAACTTTGTTATTGTCATTAAATTCTTGTAAATATAAAAAAATCATTTCTTGACAAGTAATTGCATGTAATTAATGTAAAAGATAACATGAACAAGTTTGCGACCACATTAACACTCCAGTTTTCAAAAAGGTTATTATTATTATTATTATTATATGGTATTTGGTCATAATTATTTTAATAATTATAGAGGAATATTATTTTGTTACGTTTTAAATAATTATTGTTTTGGACAATTATTTTGTACGTATTAAATAAGTATTTTTATTAGAATTTTTAAATAAATATTTATATGTTTTAAGAGAAGGTTGATTTTATATGATATTTTGTTATTAAAATTATATTATTATATTTTGGGTCAGAAATATATTGTTATAGAGGAAAAATATTTTATAATATACATGTATTTATTTTATTTAATTATTTTGAGAAAAAAGAGAAGTGAGTTAGAAGAGAAGGAAAATGGGTTGGGTTGATCCAGCCTAATGGATTAATTTTAAGAAACGAGTTAGGTAGCGTTAACCCTATCTGCCTCATTTACGTTCTGAAGGATTAGTGAAAAAAAAAGAGGAGAAACAAAGAGCTCTAAGGAAGAGTATTCAGGAACGATCCTAGATCACACCAAGACCATTCGTTTTCCGCTCATCCAGGTAAGGGGGAGTGAGAAACCTTACTCTGGGTGTAGGAATGTTTGTTGTATATTCATGTATGAGGGGTTTTCCCAATTGTATCCGTTTCATCTATTGTACTCTTGAATGTAATTAATTGTATAAATTGCTTGAATGAACTATTAATTTCAGTTTTAAAATTGTAATTTTATGATTTGAGATTTCTGTGGGTTCCTACGGGAAACCCTATAGGAAAACGGGAAAAATATGAATGTTTTCTGTTTTTCCTTCTGATTGCGTTGTTGTGTTTCTTGTTGGATGTGATGCATGAGTATATGGTTAATTTTGAAAATGAATATTTTTATATGAATTAGAGTGCTCTGTGAGTTCTTACGGAAAACCCTATGAGAAAACAAGCAAAATATGAATGTTTTCTGTTTTATTCCCTGAGTTTTCTATTGTGTTCTTTGATGTTTGCGGAGTGTAAATATGTGTTTCATTTTGCAAATATATGAGTTTTGATATGAATTAAAGTGCTCTGTGAAAATTGTGAATATGATGTGATAATATGATAATGTGATATGGTGATGTGATTTGATGATGTGACATGATGATGTGATATGATAATGAGACATGATAATGTGATATGGTAATGTGATATGACGATGTGTTATGATGACGAGACATGATGATGAGACATGATGATGAGACATGATAATATGATATGAGAATGAGATATGAAAATGTAATATGAGAAAAGCATGGAGTCTTCATTGACATGCATCATGTGCATAAATATTTTTATGGGTACGATATGGAATACACCGCCATAGAAGACCCCCTAGTGTAAAAGCTTTGGGGATTAGTCCTTGGGGATAGCTCGGTTTGTAAGTCTCAGTCTCGCCCGTTGTGTGCATTGGATGTATCTTGTGCGACTTAGTTATCCCGACGAGACTCTGGTAGTATGTCCTTCTAGTGAGAGTGCGCAGAGGGTGTGACCTGGCATGTACTCCTAGACTACTCTTCATGTATTGCTAGCGGCAATATGCCATGTGATATGTTACTGGCGCCACATGGATGATAAAATGTAGTCCGTGTCCATACATGTGCATTTTAATGTTATATGAAAAATTGATGTCTTGGATGAGTGAGATGTGATGATTTTATTAATTTGTCTATGTTATACCTGTTTTGTTTGTGTTTGGCTATCCGGCGTATATTTTTACACTGTAAGCCAGAGTGAGATGTTTCTCACTCCCTTTTCTTGTGTTGTTTTTCCTTAAGCGTCTTACAGGTAAGTCTATCAATATTATATGTTTGTATCATTCGTTAATGTATTGTATAATTCTTTTATTTGTTAAAAACAAAAACTTGGTATCTAAATATTCTTATCTCATTCAACCAGCTGAATTAAATCTTGAATAAGCGTACAATCACATGATAAAAGTAAAAATTAATATTGGATTGAGATTTTAAAGGACTTTTTTAGTTGAAAAAAATCTTATGAATTTTAAAAGACTTTGCAAGATTTTCATGACTTTTAAGATTTTGTAGGATTCCACAAGACTTTCAATCAGGATTTTAATGGATTATGCAAGACTTTTAAGTTAGGATTTTAATGGATTCTACAGGACTTTGTGAACTTTGCAGAATTTCATAAATTTTTTACATAAGATAAGAATTCAAGATTTTTTTCATACATTCAAATTTAAAAAGAGTCAAATATAAAAATAATAAAAAAATAATAATGTCTGGATAAATAATAATAATTTTTTGTAATATCATGTCGTTCTAAATAGAATTCACCCACATATCCATAGCTATACTAGTCTTCTAAACATTAGTATTTTTTCGCTCTTGCTCCTGTGTTTTAATAATAGGCTCAAAATTATGATTTTCATTAACCAGTAATGTTAAAGATGAAGGTTTGTTCATCACTTCAAATGAAAATTCATCATAATGACATTCTTTACGAAGAAAGTTATGTAGTCCCATACATGCTAAAAATTATTCTATACAACATTTCAAAATTTTTATAATTTGTGGTTTAAAATATTTTATTTATAATTTTATAAATGATTAAAAAAAATAGTGGCACAACTACCTTACTCTCTTATAACTAAATATGTCCCTTCATTTTATATCTGTACTAAAGTAGATATTTACAAACATTAATTGGGAGAAAAAAAAATATCTGAAATTTGTTACAGGTACAAAATATTTTTTTTTAATTTTTAATTGTTTTCAATTATTCACTCGTGAAGAAATATTTTTAGTATTAAATTCTAAGATACTGCAATGTCTTATATTAATTTTCTTTTTTAAAATATAAAAATCTTAATACACACATATATATATATATATATATATATATATATATATTGTTCTAATAAATCTAAATTGATTACAAGGTCTTGAAGATCTATAGTTGATTATAGAGATAATGATATCAATTTTAGCTTTCACTTTTCCCTTTTCTTGACATGTGTTATAAAAAAAATACTACTTTAAAGTTAAAATTTCAAGTGTTTTCTGTGTTATATAACTGATGAACAATCTCAATTAAATAGACCAAAATAGAGCAAGTCAATTAAAGAGAACGGAGGGAAAAATAAAGTAAGTTAATGACACTATCATTTACGATAGAAATTTCACCAAATAGGAGAATGGAATGAAAACAGTAATACAATATTATATATAAGTAGTAGTGTAGTATTATTAAGAAGAGAAAAAAAATGGAGAAGACACGATCATAGAAAAAAAATAGATGAAAAACCCACTTGGAAATTCCTTGAAGCACTTGAAAAGTCACTTCAAACAATCCTCCAAAATCTTATGGGTTTGGAAGGGATTATTTTATGAATTTGGTATTTATAGATACCACTAAAAAGTCCATCAAAATCCCTCTAATACAACAATCCTTTAAAATCCCTATATTTTTTTAATACTAATGGATTGTTTTTAAGTTGTAAAAAGTCTCAAATGAACACCAATGGATTTTAATGGACTCTTTAAAAAATCTTAAAAATACTGATTGAATACCACTGAATTATTTTTAAGTGACATAAAGTCTTGATTGAATACCAACGGCCTTTTTTACTCAAAAAAAGTCTTTTAAAATCCTATGAAATCCTAAACCAATACACTCCCCTTAAAAGACTTTGCAAGATTTTCATAACTTTTAAGACTTTGTAAGATTCTGCAAGACTTTAAATTAAGATTTTAATGAATTTTGCAAAACTTTTAAATAGAGATTTTAATCGATTTTGCAGGACTTTGTGGACTTTGCAAAATTTTATAAATTTTTAACATACGATAAGAGTTCAAGATTTTTTTTCACACATTCAAATTTAAAAAGAGTCAAAGACATATATATATATATTAGAATTTTAGTTATATATTATATATGATATTTTTTATATAATTAATATTTAACAAATATTTTTAATATTTAAATTA